AGGGACATGTACTGTAGAGAGACTCATTAAATATTCATCTGACACAATAATACTCCGTATAATTACATGGTCTGATCTTGTACCTACATGTACTCATCCTGCATATTCCAGTGAGTACTTAATGTACTCTTAAGATGATACATTTACACAAGTACTTTTTTAAGCTATACAGACAACGGGGAGTGGGGAGTCGACGGGGGGGAGGGGGGATAAACAGCTCAGTGGGACGGACTTGACCCGCGGGCCACCAGTTGATGATCACTGTGGTCCTTCACTTGTGTTATCTTTATATTTGTTTTATATCTGAAGTATTTTGTTACTTTCAGGTCAAAATCCAAAAGATCAAATTGTTCCAACACAAATAAAAACCTGGATCATAATAATCACCGTGGTCAAAAACACAGATTTAGAAGTTCTGCAGCCGGCGCTGTCTGGGATCCAGTTTGCCAATTCACTGGTTTTAATTTGTACATTAAAGTTAAAAGTGTCAATTAGAGTGTCCAGGGATATCATTAGTGCTCTCTCAGTCCTGCTCAGGCTCGCGGGCTAAATTGAATGGGTTGTAATTGTGTGTCACGGCAGTGGAGACAAGGCTATAAGCTGCGATCCAGACTGATAATGGCACATTTGGTTCTAGCCCACAAAGAATGACAGGCGGGCAGCAGCCTGAGAGTTTGGTCGTTGGTGCTGTTTCTGCGGTGGAGAAAGTTTCCTCTGTTCACGACTCCAGAACAATCCTTCAGTAAAATTCATCTACGGTTGCTGGCCATGAAATAATTGCTGAATGTTGCAAGAATCGTTCAACCTGGCGAGTGTCTCCGTCAGAGAAACTTCAGCTGCAGCGTGAGCTCCTCAATCATTAACAAACCATCGGTCGGGAAAACAGCGGCCAACGCCGTGACAATGGTGAAGATCACCACCTACTGTGCCACGACGCCAGGCTGCTATTGGACGATCAACCCGTCAACAACGAGCAGTGACCTCCTCCAACATCCGACGTCTGTGGACTTTATCTTACAGTTAGCTGTAGCAGAGAACACACACACTAAAATACGACAGTCAACAACTGATCGGCACCAATCAGGTCCCCGGGCCTCATGTTGCTCCCACAGGGTGCAGCGGAGTTAGTGGTGTTTACTTTTTATTTCCCACCAAAGTTGTTAGTACCGCTACATGCTAACGTTAACTCTTTATCTCACGTCGATCCACCTGTCTATAATTATTATAATAACGATGTTAAACTGGATGTCGTTGGTTTCATGACTCGTCTATAAAAAGTGACTGAGAACCGATGGAGAACCGATGGTTTATACAGACGTTCTACTGGTTCCTGTGGCCATAACCTTCAGTGAAGAACACCACACATACATACATGCAAACACACCACATACAGAAATACACTCGTACTCATAAATCTATGTACAGACTCGGGCGTGCGAGGCTCATTTTGTTGCCATTACAAGAGAGAGAGAGAGAGAGAGAGAGAGAGAGAGAGAGAGCCTTCATTAGGCAGGATCTCCCTGACAACTGTGAACACTGGGGAGGATTTAGTCCGCATGTATGTACTGTGTACCTCCTACCAGAGGGGGTGGGGGATGGAGGAGGCGGGGGGGGGGCGCTTTCCAGCAGTGAAAAGTCAGTGGAGCATTGTTTGCTGTGGCTGAAGAATAATCTAATTTAGGAGGATTCATAAAGGCAGAGACTAGCGTTAGCCAAACACAATCGTCTGTGTTCAGGGACAAACAGCATCAGAAACGTATTCATGCGAAAAGCTCAGACATTTTCCAGGCCGGGAGTTTTATTAGAAGTCTGAATAATGACAGAAACCCTGTTCAGTGGTCTGGACATAATGCTGTGGTAAGAAGGCTCCTATGTCAAGGAGGGCTCCTCGCTCTGCTTCCTGCTCTCAGGGTTTACAGCATTAGGTTCATGTCGGTGCTTTAGCTTCAGCAGACGACGTCAGTCTGAATTAGCACGGCCGACGCTGACAGAACAAAACACCGGCCGTGGCAAAACGGCAGCTAATTCTACCATCCTCCGCCCCCAGCCGTTAGCTCAGGGTCGGACGGAGTCACAGAGTGAACGACACGCGGGTCAGAGTTGGACAACACGTCCGGACGGACAACACGTCCGGACGGACAACACGACCCGACGGACAACACGTCCAGACGGACACAGTCGGACGCTTCCATCTCCTCCTTTAAATCCCTGACGCAGTGGAATCAGCAGGAGCGCCACATCCAGCCGCAACATAAACATAACAATAAGAAGCAGCCAGTGTGGAGAGCTATGATTAATGAACAGAAAAATGCTAAAGTGGCCAGAGGAGGAAAGTGCTGACCGCCACAGTGTCAACATTCACTGTTTTTATTCAGCTCAATTCTGCAAACTAAGCTCTGATTAGTCGATTTAATTTCCCTCTAATTGGCAGAAACTCTGCTCATTGGCCACCGGGGTGTGAGCCTTGTTTTAAATGACTGGAATTATTGCCAGCAGCACAGTATGTTGAAGGCTCAAGTCCCACACCCAGGACAACAGCTAAAATATGACTGTGTGAGGAGGAGGAGGAGGAGGGAATCGAACCCACACACACAGACACAGGACTAGAATCAATAATACAAAGAGAAGTGCACCTGGTTCAGAGTGCAGTACAGCATGTGTTTGAAGCTGGTTTATCTCTGGTTTATTATGTAACTGTGGAAGAAACGAAGACTGAGAGCAAAATAAAATGATTTAACGTTACTTTGTTTTAACTGTTTGCCAATATTTTTGTATTTCATTTCAAATGGCCTCCTCCCTAACTGTCAAATTGTCATTTTGTAAAAGAAATACCAGATTAGGTTAGATTTACACCTGCACATAAAGACATGTTCACGCTGAACAAACACCTGTTTGTTGACAACAACTTCCTGCTGTTCTAACCCTGTTGGCAGGTGTGGACACAGACACAGTAAATACACGTTCTGTTGTTGAAGATCAAACAGGGACAGAACGTGGATTTGGTTTCAAACTGCGGTTCAAGGTCAAAAGAAAACAAGAGCTGGAAAAACTCACAAATACGTCACAAGAACATCTACCACCCACCCCCACTAACGTCGGGTCCTTACCTTGTCTTGGAGATCAGCTCAGATGTCATTCCACAGCCCGGTGTCTGTAAATCCACACGTCGGAGACTCGACTTCCTGTTTCCTTTTTCTTCTGTGTTTATTCATTTCCCAGGAACTCTTCAAACATTGTGGTTTGATGTGATAGAAATTCTTCATCGTCTTGTCCTTGTTTCCTGTTCCAGACCCATGGTGAATGTTTTGTATATATATTTTCCAGTGACTACGTACAGGCTCCGTTGTTGCTAATCTGTTAGCATTTAATTAGCGATGACTTCCGGGATTCCTTTAAACTCATTCCTCCGCAAAATACTGGAAACGTTTAACTTCTTAAATCTAAAAGAATAAATAAATAAAAGAAAGAAACATAACGACCAAATAAAACAAACAGAGAAACCCGACAGGTCGAGAGTTCGGAGAGTTTCTCTCCTTCTGGAACTTTCTCCACAGACATTAACGAAGCCAAACCGAGCCATTCGCGCCCTCTCTTCTTTTATCAGTTACACCTGGTGGTAGTGATGTGCGGATCGATCCTGAAATATCGATACTTCCGATTCTGGAGCGGTGTGCTCTGAAATCGATTCTGAAATCAAAATATCGATACTTTTGATACTTACGCATTCTGAGATGAGGTGTATCCTAAACAGAAACATGGTGAAAAGTATCCAAATTATTGAGATGTTGTCTAAGTGACGCTCGGTTGGTGGGACTACTTCTTCTTCCGCCTGGGTGTGTGCGTCATGCGTAAGCACAGGGGCTCTACTCCGTGCTCTCACTCAGTCACAATTGATGGGAATTTCGGCTCTTTTTTAGAGAACCGGTTCTTTTGGTTCGGTTCACTGAAAAAATCTGACTCTTTCGGGTCCCAAATTGCTCCTCAGATTTTTTTTCAATTTCTTTTTCTTTTTGTTTTACAAATAACATGTTTTCAGAGTTTGAAACATTGTTTTGACATATTTTATATGATTGTGTTCTCAAGGTTTTCTATTGTTGTGTTGACTGTATAGTAAATGAGGCAGCTACCTCAGTACACTCCAGAGTTTAAAATAAATAAATAAATAAAAACCTCAGCCTCGGATTCTTAAAGAAGCTATGATTTGAAATACACATTTTTTATTTAAAAGACAAATGATAAAATATTGATATCGGTATCTGCGATACCAGCCCGAATTTTACTCGGTATCGGATCGGAAAGGAAATTGGTGGTATCGAACATCACTACTGTTAAGTTTCTGTATTATTTGACAGGAAATGTAGGAACAGGGACAATCCAGTAGAGGGCAAACTTCAAAATGACCAGTAACATTTTCAGTCAAATCACTAAGAAGTTGTTTTTAACTTTTTTAAACTTTAATGATTGAAAAAAAAACTTAAATAAAAGTAAAAGCAAATTGAAATTTAAAAATAATTAAAAAACAACAACAAAAAGCATATTTTCATAAACAACAAACAACTGGAGCCAATGCATCTAAAATAGTCTACAATTACAGTTTATCCAATAGATGGCGCTTTGGATTAGAATTAGATGAAGCCTGTAAAATATCCTGATTGTCAATTAAAACCTAAGATAAAGATTTGTAACAACATGAAAAATATAAAGAAAAAACTCATTAACATAAAGAAGTGTAAGTTTAGGTCAAGTTAACGTCTTTATTCCAAAGGTTCTAATGGATGAACACCTTATTATTATTATTATCGTCATTATTATCATTATTATTTTTATCGTTATTATTATCATTAATAATATTATAGCTCAGCTCAGTGTTTTGACTTCAGTCTGAAGTCCAGAAGCCCAGAACCAGAACCACGTCTGTCAGACAGTCCGTGGATCGTGTTGGTGGCAGATGTTCCAGCAGGAGCTCCACAGTGGCAGCATGTGCTGTGGACGTGGACGATGATCAGGTTCCATTCGACGTGACAGATGCGTGCAGTGACGCTAATGCTGTTAAACAGACACCTGCGCTGTGTTTATGCTCCACTGGAGGCAGTCTGCTTTCAGGTTAACGCACTTTCACTTCCACTCAGCTGATTGTCTTGACATTATGCTCCGCAGCCTTCACCGGCTGGACCAATCACATCAGTGCTCTCACCGTGATGATGTCAGCTGAGACAGAGACCAGATGTTCGAGCAACGTTACGACGTCCGTAGATCAAAACAACGCCGCGTTGTGACTTTTGAAAGTTCCTCAATCACAGACGACCGACCACCAGGAGGCGGGACAGAGTCCACTCATCTGACACACACACACAGCCCAGTATTTGTACCATGTGACACAGAGGAATCAGGTGAATGTGATAAAAAAAACCTTGAAAGGAGAAAAACTTCACACAAACCAAACAGGAACTGTTTAATGTGAAAATAAAAGAGATTTTTTTTCCTTCTTTTTTAAATTTGGCCACTGCCAGCTGTTATAGTCAACAACCAGCTGTGGACAGCTGACCCTGGACCAGCTGTGGACAGCTGACCCGACAGCTGACCCTGGACTGGACCAGCTGTGAGTGGGCAGCTGGTCCAGTCGTCACCTCAGACTCTAACACTGCTGTAACTAAAAAAACTTCAGTTCATTTGAAGAAGCTGCCGGGTTAAATCCAGGAGGATTCTGGTTCTGGTTCTGGAGCTGTATCTGGTTTTGGTTCTGGATTGGGTTCTGGATGTGGTTCTGGATCTGGATTGGGTTCTGGATATGGTTCTGGATATTGTTCTGGATGTGGTTCTAGATCTGGTTCTGGATCTAGTTCTGGTTCTGGATGTGGTTCTGGTTCTGGATCTAGTCCTGGATTGGGTTCTGGATCTAGTTCTGGATCTAGTTCTGGTTTTAGTTCTGGTTCTGGATTGGGTCCTGGTTCTGGATTGGGTCCTGGTTCTGGTTCTAAAACCTTTTTGATAACTAAAGGGAGGTTTGAAGGAAAAGTCAAACTTCGTCTGTGTACTTTTTGACTGACGCGTCTGGGACTAAAACGTGTCAAACTGTTTCCTTCACCTCCATTGGTCGAACGGCTGACGTTGTTCTGTGATGATTTTCTGTGGATTCATCTTTTAATAAAAAATTCATCTCAGTTCCAACTGAAATCTGTCCCAGAGAAGGAAATGACATCACGTTTCTGACTCAGTTAAATGATGAGAGAGAGGTCGGAGGTCACAGATGGACACAGTCGGATACTGGAGATCAGCTCGGCCAAATTCACCCACAACTGTGAGACCGAATGTCCTCCCCCTGGTGGCCGTGTACTTAACGGCCGGATTAATGGAGTTAATGTGTCCAGAAATATTTAAATAAAGCCATAAAT